ACAAAATCCTCATCTACTTGCGCGACATGAAGCAGCACGTCGAACACCTACGACGCGTCTTCGAAATTCTTCGGCTGGAACGGTTCTACGTCAAATTGTCCAAGAGCGAATTCGCCCTCGAGAAGGTCCAATTCTTAGGACACATGGTGAGCGCTCAAGGAGTTCACGTCGACCCCAAGAAAGTCGAAGCCGTATGTACGTGGAAGACACCCGAGAACGTGAAGGAGTTGCAGCAGTTCCTAGGCTTCGGTAATTATTACAACAGGTTCGTGCCACAGTACGCGAAACTCGCAGCACCACTCACGAATTTGCTGAAGAAGAACACGCCCTACAAATGGGAGTCAAAACACCAGGAAGCCGTGGAGCAGCTGAAACAAGCACTCACGTCCGCACCAGTACTCATCTTGCCAGATCTCGAACGCGACTACGTCATCAAAGCCGACGCCAGCGATTAGGCAGTGGGAGCAGTTTTGATGCAAGACCAGGGGAATGGACTGCAACCAATCGCCAACCTCAGCAAGAAACTACACGGGGCAGAACTAAATTACCCGATACACGACAAAGAGGCCCTTGCCATTGTCATTGCCTTCAAAGCGTGGAGATGTTATCTCGAAGGACGCAAAACAACTGCCTATACCGACCACTGTAGCCTGAAATATTTGAAGACCCAACCAACCCTTTCCAGGCGACAGGTCCGGTGGATCGACTTCCTCGAGACACACTTCCACTACGAGCCGGCTAAGGGCGTCTGCTTTGTTTTTGTGCCCGGGCCTGCACACGTTGCCGCTATCCAAATTGAGGGGATGAATCCACTACTCAAGGGACTCTTCACCCACGGGTACACCATCGACCCCGAAATTCCCTTGGCAGAGAAGCGACACCTGCTACAGTGGGTCAGTGACATCGCGTACTGGAAAGGATCAACGAAAATCTGGGTACCTAATTACCCTCCTTTGCGCCAGTTACTACTCGAAGAATACCACGACGTCCTATACGCTGGAAACTTTGGTAGCAACAAGACGCTGACCGGTATCACCAAGTACTACTACTGGCCCCACTTGGCAGAAGATGTTCAGAAATTCGTCACCTCTTGTGATACGTGCCAACGGATGAAGAGCAGCAAGCAGAAGAAGGCAGGACTACTGCAGCCTCTTCTTGTCCCAGAACAACCATGGCAAGTGGTTAGCCTGGATTTCATCACCGGGTTACCACCTACCACCAGCGGTCACGACGCAATTCTTGTCGTCATCGACAAGTTCTCCAAAATGGTACACTTTATCCCGACACACACGACAGCACGCACTGAAGAAACAGCACAACTCTTTGTTCGCTATATCATCTCACAGCATGGCATTCCAACCAACCTCATCTCTGACCGAGACCCCAAGTTCACCAGCAAGTTCTGGAAGGAACTAATGTCTCTGCTCGGGACCAAACTCGCCATGTCATCCGCCTACCATCCGCAGACAGACGGACAGACCGAGCGCCTCAACCAGATTGTCGAGCAACTCCTCCGAGCAGCCTGCAAGGACGAGATCTCCAAATGGGACTTGCACCTGCCCGTTCTAGATTTTGCTTACAACAACGCTACACATGCCGCTACTGGACAGACGCCGTTCTTCCTCTGCTACGGACGCCACCCACTCAAACCACAAAAACCGACAACATCAGCTACAGTCCAACCCGCACACGACTTCATCACAACCATGCATCAGCTTTGGGATCGGACCCACAAGTGCCTCCTTGACATTCAGCAGCAACAAAAGCGTCAGGCCGATCGCCATCGCAACGACCACACCATCACCGTGGGAGACCAGGTGCTCCTCGACACCCGCAACCTTGACATCAGCCATCTTCCATCTAAGCTTCGACCTCGCTTCTGTGGGCCTTTCCTCGTTGAAGCACAGGTCACTCCTATTACCTTCCGCTTACGCCTGCCAGCTACCTGGAAGATTCACAACGCCTTCCATATCCAACTTCTGAAGCCCTATCGGGATCCGAACACGCTCTTCGTCAGACGCCGACCGCCGCCGCCGCCGCCCGTCCTCGTCCAAAATGAACCCGAGTACGAGGTCGAGACCGTGCTTGCACACCGCCGTTGTTGGAATGGCACCGTGGAGCTTCTTATTCGTTGGAAGGGTTATGATCCTTCTGAGGACAGCTGGGTACCTGAGACCGACATGGGTAGCGCACGTCGTCCTCTGCATGACTACCTTGTCAAGCAGGGTGTTACTTCTACCACCCAGCTTTGAGGGGGGGAAGTGTGAGAGTACGACCCCGTTACACCACTTGACTTCTCTTTATTTCCTTCCTATTTCATCTCTCTTTTTATCTCATCTCATTTGGTTTCCTATTCTCCATTTTCTATTATTCTTTGGTTTATCCTGCTATTATAATTTTATCACCGACCAGGCTTGGGATGTACTGGTGCTATATCTAGCGTAATCCTGCCATAATCCCTTAAAGCCAATAGCCTCGCGTGGCTATACGCAGGGTGATTCTATATTCTAGAAGGGTCTATTCCCTTTGGATAGGATAAACCTGGTTACCTGATGTACTATGGAAGTATAAAAGCGCCTTGTATCAATCGATAGTGCAATCTTTCCTCGACATATTCGATCTTGTGACAAGGCGGGGCAAAGCGAGGGAGCTTCCGTCAACATGGACGGCCAAGGAGTGACCGTCCTGGCGCTGCCCGGTCAATTGACGGTGGAGGTTGACAAGCCACGCCTCAAACTCAACGGCCCAATCCTCCGCGTTCAGGCGGAGCAGTGAGTCCGCCATCACCACGGCTGCAGCAGCTGATTGCTGCTGAGAAGGGGAGGAGGGGAAGCGGAGGAGGACAGTGGAGAGCAGTGGAGTACAGTGGAGTGCAGTGGAGTGCTGTGGGGAGCGGTGGAGTGCAGTGGAGAGCGGTTAAGTGCAGTGGAGAGCGGTGGAGACTGCCGGCAGGAGCGCCGACTCAGTGGGGAAGCCAAGTCCGGCAGGATGGGGGACGGCGGCTGGCGGCTACAGGCGTCTGGCGGCAACGGGCGGGCGGCTACAGACGGGCCAGCGGATACAGGGGGGCTGGCGGCAACGGGCGGCCAGCGGCGACGGGCGGCTGGCGGCAGCGGACGGCCAACGGTGACGGGCAGCGGCTGGCGGCAGCGGGCGGCCAGCAGCAATGGGCGGCTGGCGGCAGCGGGCAGCTGGCGGCTACGAGCGGCCAGCAGCGACTAGCGGCCAGCGGCGACGGGCGGCCAGCGGCCACAGGCCGGCTGGCAGCGACGGGCAACCAGCGGCGATAGACGGCCAGCAGCTACAGGCGGGCTGGCAGCAATGGGCAGCTAGTTGCGACAAGCGGCCAGCGGTGATGGGCGGCTGGTGGTTACAGGCGGCGACAGGCTGCCAGCGGGCTACAGGCGGGCTGGCGGCTAAGGGCGGACAGTGGGCTGGCGGCTATGGCCGGCTGGCGGCTACGAGTGGCTGGCGGCTACGGGCGGCCAGCGGGGATAGGTGGCCAGCGGTTACAGGCGGCCAGCGAACTGGCGGCGACGGGCAGCTGGCGGCTACGGGCGGCCAGCGGCGACAGGCGACCAGCGGCAACAAGCGACCAGCGGCTACGGGCGGCTGGTGGCTACGGGCGACGGGCGGCTCAGGCTAGGGCTAGGACTAGGGGCGGAAGCGCGGGTGGGCGGGATCCTAAACTAGCGTGATACCATCTCAGAGTAGAAAGATTTGACTAGAATGAGAGATACAAGGTAGTTTTGTCTAAGGGGTCGTACTCTCTATAGGACTGCACCTATCTAGCCTATAACATATACAAAATATATGTTGACAGGGTGTCAGCAACGGCGTCAGCGGCGGCTACGACGACGACAGCGGTGGCGGTGGAGCCAGCTGCACCTGCAGCGGCGGTGGCGGCTTCGACAACGACGGCAGCGACTGCGAAGCCCGTGGCACCCGGCGGCGTGGCACGGCCCGGCGACGATGGGGAAGGGAGTCATCAGCTGCGGCTGGGATGAGGGGAGACGCAGGGGAGGGGGTGTGCCTTCAGCGAGGCGCCCTGGATGGCGCGCTGGCTGGCGTGCGGGCAAGCAGACGACAAAAACAATGCGCTGGCCGCAGCCGTCCGTGTGCTGGTGCATCGAAGCCGCCATGGCAGCACGACGATGACACGGCAACACGACGAGGCTGCTGTGGCAGCGCGGCGAGGCCGCCACGGCTGCTCGACGAGGCCGCCATGGCAGCCGGACATGGCCGCCATGGCAGCCGGACGTGGCCGCCATGGCAGCACGTCGAGGCTGCCACGGCAGCACATGGAGGCCGCCACGGCGGCACGAAAGTGAGAGGAGAGGAGAGAGTACGCGGCGGAAGCGTGAATAGGAGGCTCAGCAGGATCTTCCTGCTGTGAAACCATGTTGAAGTAGCTAAGGAAGGGTTTTGGCTAGGTAGGAGAGAAATAGCAAGAGAAAAGGGGTTTGACAAGGAGAGAGAGAGAGGTACAAGAAGTGGGTTGTAGCCTCTACAATAGGATCCAGTCATTTGTAGAACACCCAACACCTACCAGGCCTACACAACTATATATATTGAATGTATAAGTTGATAATGGGGACAGAAGGGCAAGCAAGTACGTACAGGAGGTCTTGTGGTGGGAGGGAATCGGAGGAATGATCGGCCTGAGGGTGGACGGCAGCGCAGCGGGGGAGAGAGGCAGCGTGCGAGAGGAGATGCAACAAGTGAGAGCTGAGGAGCAATTAGAGGTGGGAAGGGAGTGGCCCTCCCTCCGTAGGAAGCTTGGTAAATAGCCTCAAGGTTAGGCGTGATCTGATATGATCCGAATAGGTATTCCTACAGACGACACATCCTCGCAGCTATGCAGTGGGTCGAAAGGTGCATGTGGGCCTGCGTTATGAGTAAGTGCGTGCATTGCAGAGCCGCCACCCATGATGGTGCGGTATGAAATAAATCCAGTGTGTGTAGTCGCCAGTGGAGGTACGTAGTGGCATGGATGGATTAATAAGATAGATGGTCTAAATGTCAGATAAGCTGGCTCGCACTAGGGCACAGGCAGCAGAGCAAGAAACACTGTTAGCACTGCTGTATCAGCTACCTGGAAAAGGCCTCCTGTTCAGCTTCCAGTATTCCAGCTACAGCAGCACAACTGCACATCAATTCAGCTAGGAATTGCATTCACAAGCTCAACGACCAGGATACAAAGCAGCTACCACTACCTAAATGAGCCGTAACATATAGTGGTTACACCAGGAGAAGTGCACAGAGGGCTAGGCCAACCAAGGCAAGCAGTTTGAAGATGGAAGTGGTGGCTCCTGCAGGAAAGCATAGCGACGAAGGGACTTGTGGGCGTCAGACGGAATCAGCAAGTGGGTCTATTTCAACCAGAACACATTGGCAAGTTAGTTCCATATGAGTTGAACGCACTGTGACGTGTGTGTGTGTGTGTGTGTGTGTGTGTGTGTGTGTGTGTGTGTGTGTGTGTGTGCGCGCGCGCGCGCACGTGTATGTATGTGTGCATGCATGTGTGCGTGCTTACCCGCATACGCGGCAAGAGCATCCATGTTGTAAGGCAGAAGCACCGCATCGCTCTTATACACCGCCACCTCGCCGCTCGGAATATCAAGCACGAGGTCTCCGGCGTCAAGAGAAGAATATGCGAAGGGAGTGCCCTGGAATATCGGATAGCCGCTGCTGGACTTGGGCTGCAGCGTGCTGGCCTGTTGCTGGGGCGATATGCCCGTCACGTTCCACGTCCCGCCATATTGTGGACCGTACGACAGCCAGAGCGGCTGCCCCTCCAGGGCGGGGAGCTCCCACGGGCCGCCGTTAGAATACTGTGGTTTGGGGGCGCAACAGATCAGCAAAGAGGGAGACTTGACGCCTGAAACGTTCCGTGCTGCCTGCTTTTGGACAGTCTGATATGGCAGCCAGAGGGGCTGCTCCTATGGCCCGCCGGAAGAGTACTAGTGTCATATAGGGGCGGGTGCGTTAGTGCGGCGAAGCAGGAGAGACAGCGAGTCGGAAATCGGCGCAGTGAATGGTATGGCAGAGCGCAATCTTCGTGAGGATGATAAGTTTCGGGGAGAGTAGCTCCGCTGGTGGGCGGGCTAGAGCAGCGAAGAGGGAGAGACAGCGAACTGGAGAACAGAGCGGTGAAGAGGCTTTCGAAGGAACGGATGGCGTAAACTCCCGCTGGGAGTGGACACTCTGTATACAACGGGAGTGTACGCCATCCACATGCTCTGGCGTAGACTCCCGCCGGGGGGTGGTGTCCTATGTCCTGGTGTTCTATGCAGTATACAGAGTGTCACTGTTGTGCGGTCAACCTCATGAGTTGATGACACTCGTGAGAAGTTTCGGGAAGAGTAGCTCCACCGGGGGGCCGCGGCGTCGCGCGTTGGTTTTAAAGTTTGCGATGCTGCAAGGACTTCGGAACGCAACGAATGGAAACTTGCTTTCTCACAGCTTTCTCGCAGCTTTCTCGAAGCTTTTTCGCAGCTGCTTAAAACGCCCCCGGAGGCCCTGAACTTCAGGGAGGGATGCACTGCTTGACTATCTGAAACCTCCACATGTCGGTCATCGTTCCCGCGAGTGCAGAAAAAACCTTACTAAGCGAATGAAATATAAATGAAGGGCCAGAAAAATCCCGAGGCACACCTTTTGCGTGGCGACGCCGAAAGGGATGTACTGCTTGACGATCTGGAACTTCCAGATGTCCGACAGCGTGCCGGCGACGATAGCAGAGACGTTCAGAAGGGCCGTCGACCACTCGCCCTCGCTTGAGCTTCCCGCCCTGTACATGAGCTTGAGCGCGTCGTACAGCGCCTGGTTGTACTTGCGCGTGGAGTTGTCCAGTGACGCGTAGCCATAGGGCGCTGTGCTGAGGGGATCTGACCGCGGGATGAGAATGGTCACGCCGGAGATGTCCTTGGTGCCGTCCAGCGCAAAGAGACGGGCCACGAGGCTTTCTTGGACGTCCTTTGGCGCCAGCGCGGCCACCAATTCGAACACTTGAATCGCGCTGGTCGACGTGGGCAGCTGAGAGAGCAGCGCGATGGCTAGCAGAAGCGCCGCGCTGGTGCGGGAAAGAAACTTGGCCATACTACTTGAGGTACTAGACACTGGACTAAGCTTGTATGAAGAGAGGTGGTAGTTGGGAAAAAAGTGGAAATTGGAGGTGATTTGACGAGATATGCAAGACACTGCGATGCTTTGTGCACAGCCCAAGAAATGGACGGGACGCGAGCTCTGGAGTCTGGACTGGATGCGCACCCAAGATTCAGGTTGCGGGAACGTTTGACGAAAAAATACGATTGACGAAAGTAGCTTCACGAAGAAGTGTGGCGATTCGTCAGCGCACCTGGGTGCGATCCTTGTTGCGTCTTGCCAGCGGTGCAAGTTCTGTTGGAAGGCGAGATGCCCGCGTTGACCGTGAGCCGAGAGGTCGTTGACTTTGGCGCGAAGTGAGCCAGCACAACCGATTTAGTCGTGCTGGACATCCACTTCAGCAATTTTTCGGCGGCTGTGCACCGCCCCGCTGGCGTCCCCGAATTTGACAGCTTGGACCAAAGCTGAACACTGACCTCCATACAATGTGGCCCATGCCTTGATGCGGAGAAACACTTCGACCTGAAATAATTAGTCAGTATGAATACAATTGGTAGGAATTTTCCATTCCTTACAGAGCGGCACTACTATCGCGTACGCTCGAACACACCCAAAGCCTCGGGACTGTTCCGGAACTTTCTGAAAGAACCGTTCCCCTAGCTGGCCCCGTCCTGCAGCCGGCCCAACCCGTCGCCGGCCCCGTCCCGAAGCCGACCCCGTCGCGTAGCTGACCACGCCGAGCCGACTCCGCCACGTAGCTAGCCCCGTCACCTAGCTGACCCCGTCGCCCCATTGGCCCTGTCGCCCAGCCGGCCTCGCTTTCCAGCTGGCCCGCGCTGACCCCGAAACGCACTGCACCGCCCTGGACTGCACTGCACCGCCCTGCACTGCACTGCAACGCACTGCACCACCTTGCACCGCACTGTATCGCACTCTACCATACTGCACCGCACTGCACTGTACTACCCCGCCCTTCTGCCGCCGCACCGACCTTGATGGCGGACTCGGTGCTGCGCTTCGATGCTGAGGGCCAGCCGGTCGAGTTCGACACGTGGCTCGTCGACCTCCGCCGTCACCTCACTGGTCAGCGGCAGGACGGCCACTCCTTTGCCGTCCACCTCGACGGTACGCTCCCCTGCCCTGACCCCCCTGCTGCCCTGCCCGCTGACCCCTCGTCTGCTGACTGTGAGTCCGCTGCCGCCCTTGCCCGCTCAGTCTGGCTGTCGCGTGACGCAGTCGCACAGCTCGCGATCAGTCATGGCCCCCCCCTGTCAGAGCGCCCACGGTTTCGGTCAGTCAGGACAACGCAGGAGTTCCTCGAGGCTGTTTTTGCGTGCTACTCCGACCCTTCTTTGGACCAGGCCCCCTGGTGGCGCGTCTGCATTCCACGTCTGGGGCTGCCTTGCTCACGTTCGTGCCTCTGGCACGGACAAGCTCAAACCCGCACCGTCCCATGTGTCTTCCTTGGTTTCCCCCTCGACTCGTTTGACTGGCACTTCTACCACCCGACGTCTCACCGTTTCTTTCACTCTCGCGACGTCACCTTTGACGAGTCCGTCTCCTTCTACCACCGCTTTCTCCACCGTGGTCCCTCGGTTACTCCCCCCCTGTTCTTGGTTCTCCCTCCCCCGATCGCCCCTGCTCGTCTCCCTCCCCGCCCTGCCCCGTCTGGTGTGTCTCACGTCACCCCCCTCCTGTCGGTTGTCGCGGTCGAGGAGTCTGCTCACTCTAGTGGCCCTGCGGCACAGTCCTCGCCGACCGCCCCTCCCCCGGTGTCTCCTCCTCCATCGTCGCAGCAGCCATCGTCGCAGCCGCCGCCGCCGCCACCGCCGCCGCCTCCGCAGCCGTCGTCGCAGCCGCAGTTGCCGCAGCCGTCGTCGTAGCCGCAAAAGCAGCAGTTCGTCGACCCTGGGGGTGCTGGTGTTGAGGAGGGTGCTCGTCCTGGTGTTCCTATCGTGGCTTGTCCTGGCAGGCCTGGGTTAGTACCGGTACAGGAGAGGTTCCTGGTTCTGGGGCTGCTAGAGTGGAGTGTTCCGAAGATGGCCGTGGAGCAGCTGGCGGTCCTGGTGTCGCCGTCGTGCCGCCGCAGCAGCAGTCGCCACCGATGTCAGCCCTTCGCTTGCTCGGCCTTCCGTCCCCTGACCACGCGCTGTGCCTCCTCCACCGTATGCTCCCCTTTCTGTCTACGGCCCGGTGTTCCCTCCTCCGGACTCGTCTCCGGCTCGTCTTCCTCCGTGCAGCTCGTCCTCTTGTTCCTCGGGTCCTTGCCTTTCTCGTTATCGACCCGTCTGCTCCTGTTTCGCGTCTTGACGCTATTGTCGCTGCGGTCGCTGACTTTGCCTCTACCCGCCGCCTTGACTACGCCACTGCTTTGGTCTCTGACCCTGCTCGTCCTCCGTCCATCAGGGGTGCACCTGCCCTCGGTAATGACGTCCACGAGGACCGGCAGTACGAGCTTGCTTTCCTGTCCGAGGCTTCTCCCCATCTCTGTTCCATGCTGTTAGTCCCTGAGGGTGACCCAGGCGATTTCGACATCCCGACCCCTCGCACTTACGCTGAGGCAATCTCGGGACCATAGGCCTCTCAGTGGATAGCTGCCATGGAGCAGGAGATGGCATCTTGGAAATCCACCGGCACCTACGTCGATGCAGTTCCCCCACGTGAGGTGAACATAGTCGATGGCCGGTGGCTCTTCAAGGTGAAGCGCCCCCATGGAGAGCCGCCTGTGTTCAAGGCGCGCTACGTGGCTAGAGGCTTTAGTCAGCGTGAGGGGGTGGACTTCTTTCAGACCTTCGCCTCGACCCCGAAGATGACTACTCTTCGGGCGCTGCTCCACGTAGCAGCACAGCGTGACTACGAGTTACACTCCCTCGACTTCTCCACTACGTTTCTTCAAGGCAGCCTACACGAGCAGGTCCACTTGCGCCGCCCTCAGGGCTTCACTGGTACCTTCCCTCATAGGACCCAATGGCTACTGCAGCGCCCAGTCTATGGCTTGCGACAGGCGCCTTGTGAGTGGCACGACACAATGCGTGCTACCCTTGCTGACCTGCAGTTCTTTCCGTCCTCTGCAGACCCTTTGCTCTTTGTTTGTGCTGGCCAGACCCTATTCTACATCCTTGTTTACGTAGACGACATGGTTTTTGGCACTGCAGACAGGGACGCACTGGCCTCCATGAAGGCAAAGTTGCTGAAGAGACACACCTGAGCTGACCTAGGAGAACTGCGCCACTACCTTGGCCTCCAGATCTCTAGGGACAGAGCAGCGCGCACCATCACTCTCACCCAGTCACACTTGGTGCGCCAGGTCCTTCACAGGTTGGTCTTCAGTTCTCCTCTACACAGCCCACACCTCTGCCTGTAGATCACAAGCTCTCAGCTCAAGTTTCTGAGGAGTCAGTAGAGCCTAGTAGTCCTTACACAGAGCTGGTGGGTTGCCTCATGTACCTGATGACTTGCACTCGTCCAGATCTCACATACCCTCTTAGCATCATGGCTCGCTTTGTGGCCACAGGCAGACACCGACCACAGCACTGGTCGGCCGCTAAGAGGGTTTTGCGTTATCTAGCAAGTACATCGGGCATGGGGTTAGTGCTAGGAGGACGCATGTTAGTGGTCCTTACTGGGCACACAGACGCTTCTTGGGCATACAACGCTGAGACCCTCAGGTCCTCGCAGGGCTACTGCTTTAGCCTTGGTTTAGGTGCCGTCTCGTGGAGAGCTACTTGCTCCTCGTCTGTTGCCCAGTCCAGCTGTGAGGCCGAGATCTACGCCGGTGCCATGGCGGCACAGGAGCTCCGCTGGCTGACCTTCCTGCTCACTGACTTAGGTGAGCGGCCTAGCACTGCGCCAGTCCTGTATGCTGACAACAGGGCCATGATCCTCATGTATCAGGAGCCTCGACTTGAGGGCAGAGCGAAGCACATCTAGCTGCGGTACTTCCTCATGCGTAGTACACTTGGCCTCCGGTGCCAACACAGCTGATATCTTTACGAATGCGCTTGCGCCTAAAGATCATTAGCGGCATTGTGTTCAGCTAGGTCTCGTTCTTGTAGCCTCTCACTTGCTAGGGCCTTGATTATGTACAGACCTTTATATATACTTTACCCTGACTGGCCTTGTGGCCTCTCCCAGTGGCTGGACTAATAGTGCCGCCCTAGTCTTGCTCTTGCCTTGGTTTGTACTTGTTTGACTAGTCTTTAGACCCTTGCCTCAGAGGTTGGACTAGTAGTGCCACCCTGGGCTGCTTGTCTCGCAACAGACACTGCCCCTATCCAGTCTAAGGGGTGTGTCAAACATGTTTATGTGTGATGTTGTAGACCATATAGGGTTGTGCCTTAGACAGTACAGCCCTCGAGGTTATAATGCATTGTACTCTCACATTCTAGTCATTCATTCCGTTTGTTATGGATCACTGTGTAGCGAGCTCCTTAGTGATGCACCTATGCTTTCTTAAAATGTACCGGTCTTGTAACTTAGATGACTGCTAATGTTTATTGTATTCAAACTGACTTGTTTCTCAACATCAAGGCATGGGCCACATTGTATAGAGGTTAGTCATCAGCTTTGGTCCAAGTTGTCAAATTTGGCGACGCCAGCGGGGCGGTGCACAGCCAGGATAGTGCCGAAATTTTGCTGAAGTGGATGTCCAGCACGACTAAATTGGTTGTGTTCGCTCAAATGGCGTGAAAGTCAACGACCGCTCGTCTCACGATCAACGCGGGCATCTCGCCTTCCAACAAAACTTGCACCGCTGGCAACATGCAACGAGGGTTGCACCCACGTGCGCTGGCGAATCGCCACACTTCTTCGTGAAGCGACTTTCTGTCAATCGTGATTTTTCGTCAAACGTTCCCGTAACCTGGATCTTGGGCGCGCATCCAGTCCAGACCAGAGCTCTCGTGCTGTCCAATTCTCGGGCTGTGCATAAAGCGTCGCAGTGTCTTGCATATCTCGTCAAATCACCTCCAATTTCCACCTATTTCCCAACTACCACCTGCCTTTGTACAAGCTTAGTCCAGTGTCTAGTACCTCTAGCAGTAATCTCATGGCCAAGTTTCTTTCCCGC